GTCCAACCCTCACCAGAAACGAGCCCGACTTACTGCTGGCAGTGCGGACCAGACTTTGACACCGGTCGTACAAGGACCTGACAGCCCGTATCAAATGTACCCCATACTCCCGGAGAACCCCCCACAAGGCCCCCCTTGGGACACGGTCGAACGCCTTCTCCAAGTCCACAAAACACATGTAGACAGGTTGGGCGTAATGGGTAATGTGTTGCTAGTTTTATTTAATTTAAAGTATTGTCAAACAAAACTATCTACTTAACCAAATATTTACCTACAAAAATAAGAAAAGATAAAACCCTTCCTTAACTCCTGACAGAGAAACAGAAAAGTGATGCTCGAACAAAAAGGATTAATTTTTTTACCTCCTTCAATTAGTGCTCCCTGTAACGTGCGAGCTATGAGGGCTGGAAACCTGCACACTGAAAGAACCACAGACTTAATTAACTTTGGAGCATTGGAACTCATCTCCATTTATTCAAAGAACTTTCCTCTCTTCTCTCCATACAGGGTCAACATGGTACCACAAGCGTGCCACCCTTTTTTAAAAGTCAAAGCACATAATATAAAACTCTCTCATTTATACTATTACAAAAAGTGACTGACGCTGGTGGAGATTCACAAATCTGAAACAACTATTTCAAACCTCCATCTCTGTGCAGCATGCAGGATGGTGTCAACTGCAGGTGTTGAAGAGCTCAATCCCTCACTGGTCCAGACTGCCGGCTCCAGACTATTCAAAGAGTTCCACCTGGTTCACCACCTATCAGACAAGACCCCCCCCCCCCACACACACACACACACACAAGTTTGCACAGCTATCCAATTGGGACATTCCATTGACTTCCATTACAGTTCTACAGCCTAACCCTGACCACAAACCTTAATGCTAACCTCACAGGGACCTACTGGACCCTAAAACTAACCTAAACTCTATTCACACCTTGGTTCTAAACCCAACCCCCAACCCACCAATGACATTTAAACCAAATGGGAATTGACTTTTGCCCCCAAATGCACCAGTTGTCCCCAAATGTAGGATTTATGTCTTAAAATTGCCCCCAACTGTCACCAAAGACACACACACACACACACACACACACAC